CCCCAGAATGCTACCGGCTCCCCCCACCAGGACAGCCCCACTCCGGCGCTACCTCCATCCGCGGGTGCGTTATCATAGACTTTTGCATAATTGCATATTGACTTGACTAAATGGGCCCGCAGAGCTCTCTTCCACCCACAAGCAACTCCCTCGGCAAGAAACAAAAAAGGAAAAAAGAAAAAAAAAAGAAAAAAGAGAAGAGGAGAGGAAAAGAAGAAAAAAGAAAAAAGAAGAAGAGAAGAGAAGAAGAAGAGAAGAAGAGAAAAGAAGAGAAGAGAGAAGAAAAGAGAAAAGAGAAAAGAGAAAAGAGAAAAGAGAAAAGAGAAGAGAAGAGAAGAGAAGAGAAGAGAAGAGAAGAGAAGAGAAGAGAAGAGAAGAGAAGAGAAGAGAAGAGAAGAGAAGAGAAGAGAAGAGAGGAGAAGAGAAGAGAAGAGAAGAGAAGAGAAGAGAAGAGAAGAGAAGAGAAGAGAAGAGAAGAGAAGAGAAGAGAAAAGAAAAGAAAAGAAAAGAAAAGAAAAGAAAAGAAAAGAAAAGAAAAGAAAAGAGAAAAAAGGAGTTTCAAATTGCTCTTGCCCCTTCGTTTGGAAGCATTTTTTTTTTTTTAGGACATGTGTGGCTCATCTCTAAGCGGTTTGGATCTGACTTGGTGCCTGTGAGGGCAGGCAAGCAGAGGGGATCTACAGTAGCCCGTGTGGCCATCGGGACGGATGGCTGTCATTCACGTCGGGGGCTCGTAGGCAAGGAGGTGGGCGTACACCTCTCCCTCTTTCTGAGCTCCCTCTGATAATTTTTGGCCAACCACGACAGCCGGGAGAAAAGCCTACTTGGGCATGTGTGTGCAGAGGAGGGCTGCCCCACGGACAACTCAAGGAATAAAGAAAAAATAAAAAGAAAAAAGAAAGAAACACCTCCTTTTTAACCGGTTTTAAAACCTCTCTTGGAAGAGAGGGACTCAAAGGTGGCATCCCCCCTTCCCCTACACCTCCCTGGTCCCACGTCAGCCCCAAACCCACAGAGCTGGGCTTCACCTCCAAGGATGGGAGGGCTCATCCTCTGCGATGGGAGTCCTCCCCCTCGCCCCCCACCCTTTGCCATCCCCTCTCCATCCTCCCCACCTCGGGGGTTGGATGGGGCAGAAGCAGCCTCCCTCGTCCTTCAGCCTCCCAGGGAAAGGTGGCCTCCTCCCGCACCCATGCTGAGAAGCAAAGTGTCGGGGGGACATGGGGGGAGAGAAGCCAAGGAGAGAAGGACAGTGGGTCGGGGAGGGAGGCGGTGGAAGCCGCGCGTTCCTCCCGGCAGAGCCAGCGTCCCCTCGGAGGGGCCCCAGCCCCAGGAGCTGCCTCCCGAGCCCTGGGCCTCCCACATGGCAGCAGCAGCAGCATCTCTGACTCCTCCTTCTCCTCCTCCTCCTCCTCCTCCTCTTCCTCCGCAGCCCCACAGCTGGGGTGGGGGGGCATTGTGGTTCCGTCCCCAGCTGTGGGTCTGCGGCCAGACATGCAAGGCCATGGGGTGGTTTCGGATGGGAAACCTCGACGGCGCAGGGATTCGGAGCATTCTGCACCATGACGTGATGCTCACAGTCATTTTTTGTAGCTTGTTTAAAGAGTTGATGAGAAAGATCTGCAGCTGTCACAGGGACACCCCAGTAAGAAAAGCCCACCAAGATGCATCGAGAGCGCGTTTGCTTCCAGTTTACCCCACCGAGAACTTTATTTCTACCTTGAGGACATTAGCTTTGCTTGAGAAGCTGTAATTGCACTTCAGAGAACGTGCTCTCCTGTTCTTACCCTCAACTCAGCGATGGGAACGAGACAAGAAATCAGATAGACACCCAAACTCTGGCAAGGGAGTATTTTTCACATGGAACCAGAGAAACATCTCGTAGAGCAATCAGCTCAGCTCTCCTCAACTGCAACGTTATTTCCTTGCATCTCGCAGACTTTAGATCAACCAAAGACTCCGTATTTTAGCTAAGAGGGCTCTCGGCATGCTTTGAGGACGACTATCCCATCATTCAACCTTTCAGTTCAAATTTCCAAAGGCATTTTGCTTCCTCTCTCAACACTGCAGTGACCACAGTCCCCACCAGATTTGGCACCTAATTCCTGCCAAGGGATAGAAACCATTTTTAGCAAGCGTGCAACTCCATGCTTCAGGAGTTCCCTACTGGCCCATGTCTCATCAGAAGTCAACGGGATTAACTGTCTAAGTCACCATGCCTTTCTCAATATGTATCGTAGCACAGGTAGACACAGCTGAGGTAGCTTTGAACCCCACCGTTGTGGAGCCAACAAAAGTACGTCTGCAGGCTCCACCTGCTCAAGTGGTTCCCAGGGGATTTTGGTGACACGTTGCCTCACCCCTCTTCTTCCCTCAAAACACTGCTTTTATGCCTCTCTGGATGCAAACAGGAGACAAACCACAGAATCACAGAATTGTCTAGGTTGGAAGGGACCTTTCAGATCATCACCCTAACCATCGACCACCAACCTAACACTGCCAAACCCATGTCCCTCAGCGCTACATCTCCCCATCTTCTAAATACCTTCAGGGATGGTGCCTCAACCACTTCCCTGGGCAGCCTGTTCCAACGTTTGATAACCCTTTCAGCGTAGAAATTTTTCCTAATATCCAATCTAAACCTCCCCTGGCGTAACTTGAGGCCATTTCCTCTTGTCTTATCCCTTGTTACTTGGGAGAAGAGACCGACCCCCACCTGGCTACACCCTTCTTTCAGGGAGTTGTAGAGAGCGATAAGATCTCCTCTCAGCCTCCTCTTCTTCAGGCTAAACAACCCCAGTTCCTCCCAGTTCTTGTGCTTATCATAAGACTTGTGGTCCAGACCCCTCCCCACCTTCTTTGCCCTTCTCTGGACATGCTCCAGAATCTCAATGTCTTTCCTGTAGTGAGGGGCCATGATGTCAAGTTCTCCAAAGACGCGTTTACTCCCCAACAGAGAAAGGTGACCCACGGAGACGCACTAGCCTGGCCCCCCTCTCCATTACTCCCATCCCTTTTAATTTGATCTTCCTCCAGTCCCTGAAATGGGACTGCTCAGCCAAACGGTGTGTGATGGTTTGTGGTGTCATGGGTGCCATCGTAGCAGCCGAACATCTTACAAACATGTGTGCGAGGAGGGAAACCCTCGTTCCGTAGCACTTGAAGCACAGAAGGTTTTCAAGGGACTCGACCAAGAAACTACGTGGTGGTGCGAGGAACGGAGGCGAGATGCTTCGCCTCTTGGGCCTCCGCTTGAAGACAAGCTGTTCCCACCCTCTCTTCATTAACTCATAAATAGCAACTCTGGACCTTGCCCAGATCTCTCCTCCTCCCTCTCTCCCCCCCCACCCCCCGCCCCCCCAATATCTTGCTTTAAATTATTTTTCCCATATCATTCTAGATCATATTTCTTCTTTTATGCTTCCAAGCTGAAGTTTATTACAGTTTATTATAGTCGTCTGCATTGCTGATCATTTGTAACCCTTTCTATTATTTTTCCTGTCCTTGCTACTATTTGAAAAGTTTCTTACTTCGGCCTTCTTTTCACATTTTATTCCTGTACTGCTCACCCCATTTTTCCACCAAGCCCATTCCACCTCGCTTTTATTCTCGCCAAAATCGAGGCTGCTGCCACTCCTTCTCCTTTGCTGTGCAGCACCACCAGATTAATTTTTTGGGTTTTTTTCCAGCCTTTTCCATACACACTCTGCCTCTCTGCGGATGAGAAGACCCTCACCGGGTTCCACCACTGCCAGCCACGTTGCCCTCACCATTAGTGTTACATTTCTAGTTATTCTTACTTCTTCCCAAAGCCTTTGAAGTCGTGTAGAGACAATTTGATTCATTAGTACGCTCGGTCTCGCAGTAACTCTAGCTTCTGCTCTACTTTCTGTATTAGAAGCACATGTTGGGACTGCAAGTTAGGGGAAAGCTCCACCGTCTGACTTCCCCACGTAGCCCAAAACTCCCCTTTAAAAATCTTGCTGGAGCAGCTGGTGGCTTTCTGCCCTGGGCTTCCATACCTGGGAATGCCACCTTCTCCTCCCTCCCTCCCTCCTGGGATGACAAACTCCTGTGAGCAATACGCTCTCCATTTCTCTGCGCCTCTGGACCGGAAGGTTTTATGCCAGTTGCACATGTTTGCAGTTCTCTTCACGGTTTTCCAGAAGAGCTGCAGTTATCCTGAATATTTCTTTACCGAGATGTCACTTCGCGTGACAACCTGACCTTCATGTAGGCTGAGATCCGTTGGCAGCACTCTTCACCAGATGTGCTTTGGTGGCCTTGTTGGGTCAGGAGGCAGATAACCGCCTCATTTCTTCTTCTGGCCATCAGGATGTTGGGTCGGGCTTCTCCACAAGGGACCACCGGAAAGGATCTCTGGCCTTCTCCCAAAGGGCAGCTCCTCCCAAAGCTGTGTGCCACCTACCATTCTCAAAAAGCAACGGTGTGGGCATCAAAGTTAGCAAACGTGGCTTGACGTACCTTCCTTGTGTAGTCTTCCTGTGCTGTCCTGCTCCTGTGCTTTGTCTCCAAAGAGGGTGGCTCCTGGGTCTTCATCTCCTTTGACTGCTTTGTCTCCACAGAGCGTGGCTCCTGGGTCTTCATGACCTTTGACTGCTTTGTCTCCACAGAGCGTGGCTCCTGGGTCTTCATCACCTTTGACTGCTTTGTCTCCACAGAGTGTGGCTCCTTCACCTCCTTTGATTGCTTCTTCACTGCCCGGGGGAGTCGTGTGTTCCTCCAAACACACGATGAGACCATTGCAAACAGCCATTAATTCTCAGAGGAACTTTACCTCATGAGCATAGTAAAAAACGTAGGGTTTTGAGTAAGAGACCTCCTAAGAAAACTCCACCGCAGGACCACTGGTTGCTCTGGCCGTGTAGTTTATTCCATTCCCTCTTTCCACTTTCCAGTGCTTTTTCTAAAGCTCTTCTTACCTGCCTGTCTCTTAATATAGATGTTGTTTAGGAAGCCAAGCCTGCCTGCCTCATGTTTTCCCTTGGACCCGTTCCCTGCTCCTAGTCCAGGTTGCCTTACGGATCCCGCTTTGAAGTTCTTCTGCGACACGTTGGCTGCACCCGGTGACTCTTCCCTCGCCTGACGTCACCTTGGGGGTCCCTCTCCAGCAGGTGGGGGGTCACATCGCCTCCACTTGCTTTGATCAAAATGAAAGCCATTTACAAGCGCCCAACGAGCCGGCACAAACAGGCCCACAGCTTTCTAGCCAAAAAAATATCCCGGCTTCGACTTCGGTGGAGTCCTTAAACCAGCTAAAAGGAGGCAAAACCCAGAAGAAAAAAACCAACATTTCATTTCAATTTACGAGCGGTTTCTGTTTGTTCAGCTCAAATGAATCCCCCGTCATCAATTAAGCAAAATCAATGTAAGATCGCTTCAAATCAAAGCAAGTGTCCGTATAGGGGTTTTACCTCTGTATTTAAAGAAATTAATTTAAAATTACACTTTGCAATTGCTCTCCTGCTTGGAGACAAAACGGCCTGTTTCCAGAGACCATCTGGGCCCCGATTACGAGCGATGCTCAGCTCCAGCAGGTCCGGGTGAAGATGGTGGGAGCAGATGGATCTCAGTGATGCTGGAGATCAGACCCCAGGGCCATTCAGCCTTGCCCATCCTTCAAACCCCGGTAAAACCTGGGTGTCACCTGCTGTTCCAGTGAGCTGAAGCAGGCCGTCTCGGTGTTAGAAAAGTCCACTTTTCTTTGTGATTATATTGTGAGGCTCTGCTTGTGGTTGCTAAGTTATTTCCCTGAACTCAATTAGCACGGAAATCATCCAGGAGTAAAAATGAGGGGTTTCAGCCCAAAAGATTACCATCCGCTTTACTAGGTTTTCCCCTTTCAAGTATTTATAACTCTTGAGGGCTACGTTTCAGCAAATCCTCTTCCAAGGAAGGAAGGAAGGAAGGAAGGAAAGAGGAGGGTGCTTGCAGCCGGGTGACTTTGTATAATGCATCTTCTCTTTCAAACTTCAAGCCCCACCACAACGAGGACAGGTTCGACCTCCGACCAGTTGTAGGGAACACAGTTGGAAATCAAATACGTTTGAAGGGTTAGGGAAGTACCTGCTCCATGTCCATCGTGCTCTGCTTCCCATCCACTTCCCAAATGTTTTGGTCCTCTGTCCCGAATCCATGCTTATGCCAGCTGTGTCCCGGCATGCATCCTCCTCCCTCCACAAAGCCACTGCCTTCTCACCATGGGAAGGCGGGGTGGATAGCTAGAATTTTCATTGATATTTTCTTCTTCTGCTTCGTCTTCCTCTTTGCTGTTGAGCCCCGTAATTCAGTTTTGCTGACACAAACACTTAATCCCATGGTGGGAAGCTATGAAAGGTTCTCTGAAGGTATTTGGGTCTTTTTAGTCTGGAGAAGAGAAGGCTGAGGGGGGATCTGATCAATGCTTATAAATACTTCAAGGGTGGGTGTCAAGAGGATGGGGCTGGTCTTTTTTCAGTGATGCCCAGGGACAGGACAAGAGGAAATGGGCACAAACTTGAAGATAACAAGTTCCACCTAAACACGAGGAGGAATTTCTTTCCTTTGAGGGTGGCAGAGCCCTGGAAGAGGCTGCTCATGGAGGTGGTGGAGTCTCCTTCTCTGGAGACATTCCAAACCCACCTGGACAAGTTCCTGTGGGACCTGCTCTGGGTGGACCTGCTCTGGCAGGGAATTGGACTAGATGATCTCCAGAGGTCCCTTCCAACCCCTATGTGATTCTGTGATGTGGTTGTATCTCTGCAGCCTCCCGTTGTGATGCCTAGTGTTTTGTGCCCCCCTACTCCCACCCCCAAGACCCACAGAAACGAGGGGGTATCAAACACCTCTGGGATTACTGGCAGAACTTTGCTGAGAAGAGGGTGCAGGCTTTCAGGGTGGGAAGAAAGTTCTGGAACAGAGAGAATTGGAGCTGGGGAGCCACGAGGCATCAGATCACCAACCTGGTCCCTTCTCTTTCATACCCAACGGGATCTTCTTCCCAGGCTGGTTTTACGTCGGCGCGGGGACACAAAAGCAGAATTTACACCCACCAGTGTGCATTAACTCCTGTCCTGACCGGTGCTAATTACTGCTAATTATGTGGGACAGTGTTAATTCTTTTAGCAGCATTACCGCTGGCCTTACACTTCAGAAAGTGCCTTTGGGTGAGGTAGCTTCCTTTGAAAAAGATATTTATGTGGGGAATAAATACTGAGGAGCTAATACACCATAAATTTACGCCGCCGGAGAGGGGGCTTTAAAGTCCCTGGGCACAAAGACAGACAAACCCTGGAGTAAGAAGCACTCAATAGAAAGGGTGGCAGGATCACCCTGTGTGATCTCGGGAAAGTAATTTTGATCTGGCATTGCTGTTCTGTAAAATTGGACAAATAATACATCCCTCACCCTCTCAGGGGTATAATATTTATTTCCTCTGCCTTGCCAATCATTCTCTTTGCTTTTAAAAAAAAAAATGTTCTCCAAACCCTAATTGTTTTTATGTGTTTGCAGTATAAGACATAAAAGACATAAAACCATCATATTTTTCTATACTGTATTTTCCCCATTGTGTTGTACTGTTACCATGAGCACTTTGCTGTGCAGGGGCTTGGCTATTTGCTGAGAGGATGAATTAAGACATCTAAAGTGCTTCAGCATCTCGGCTGAGTGGCACTGCGGAGCTGGAAGGTATCATTAGGCCAAACGGCTCTTTTTCTGCGGGAGTGAGAAGCCCAGATTTTTCAATGGATTGAGAAAAAGCAGTTAATGTTCCTCTATGCCCCTCATTCTCACACCCAAATATAGGGCAGGAGGCCATGGCTTCGACTTCCTTTCACTCTCTTTGGTCCACGCGTTCCTCTCCTGACTTGGATGACCAACCTGGGAAGACAGAAGATGCTGGACAATCCTGGCCCATGCTGGCATCAGCATTTTCTGCAGTTCAGCTCGGTATTTCTCCTTCAAATGGATGGTTTTGTCGACATTTTGTTGACCTGAATGGTTTCGTTGACATTGCCATCTCTTCCAGCAAGAACGTTATAAGTTGGGAGCCTCTGCTGTTAGACCCACTAATGTCCACTCCCTTTGACCACTGGTGCCCACCAGCCTTTGTCAGATCCAGCTCTTAGACCCACTAATGTCCACTCCCTTTGACCACTGGTGCCCACCAGCCTTTGTCAGATCCACAGGGAAGGACCAAAAAAACCACAGAAGAATCATAGAATGGTTTGGGTCGGAAGGGACCTTAAAGATCATCTAGTTCCAACCCCCCTCCCATGGCAGCTGGCTCCGTCATCCGTTGGAGAACTTCACCCACGGGTCCCTCCTTCAGTCTCACCAGTGGTCAGTGATGTTCTGTCTGCTTCTCCCATCATTCCCTTGCTGCTGGCTTTTTCCTGGTTACTGAGCAGATCCTCCTGCCACGTTAGTGCACTGGTGACCTCTGGGGCTTCCAAACCCACACCAGAGATGATCTTTGTGTCCATAGTTCCTAAAGACATCCCGAAGAGATGCTTCCCCCCTGCTTCCCCTCCAGAAGAAGTAGGTTGGGACACACTTTTCCTGGCATCACTCACTGCACTGGAAATGCTTATTTCAGCCTCTCCTGCTGCTCTCACAGCAATGTCCATGCCAGGCTCGCGGGGTCTCCAACCTCAGCCAGGCTGCCTCTTCCCCAGGCTCCTTTCTCCAGAGCCTGTGTACTATATTTGGGTAAGTTTTCCTGACCATTTGGCAGCATTTTTCTAAGCGTTTCTCTCAACAATACGTCCAGTAAGCTGGAATCTCAGGTGTATCACAAATGACTTTTTAACTAAGTCACCTTTTATATCTGCAGGTGGATGCCAAGGTTCTTGACTCTGCATAAAGCAGTCATCCATCTGCTTTTTGGTTTATTTTTTTAGGTGAAAGAACAGGAACCTTGTTTGTCTGATGACAGTAGTACGCAAGCATGTACCTGTACTTTCAGTGGCCTGGACACGTTTGGCCGCCTCCTCTGCCACCCTCCCCTCCTGCTTTTACCAATAGAATCACAGAATCTTCATGGTTGGAAGGGACCTTTGAGATCATCAAGTCCAACCACAAAAAAAACCCCCAACAAACCCCAACAAAAAAAACCCCTAAAACCCCACACCAATAAAACCCCACAAGTAGACACAACCCAACAATCTCGGGCACTAGAGCATGCCCTGAAGTGCCACATCTACACGTTTCTTAAATCCCTCCAGGGATGGTGACTCCACCACCTCCCTGGGCAGGCTGTGCCCGTGCCTGACCACCCTCTCAGGAAAGGAATTCTTCCTCAGATCTAATCTAACCCTCCCCTGCCCCAACTTCAGACCATTCCCTCTGCTCCTGGCATTATTCTCTTGGGAGAAGAGGCCAACCCTCACCTCTCTACTCCCTCCTTTCAGGGAGTTGGAGAGGGCAAGGAGGTCTCCCCTCAGCCTCCTCTTCTCCAAACTAAACATGCCCAGTTCCCTCAGCCTCTCCTTGTGCGACTTGTTCTCCAGACCCCTCCCCAGCTTGGTGGCTCTCCCCTGGACACGCTCCAGCCCTTCCATGTCCTTCTTGTAGTGAGGGGCCCAGAACTGAACCCAGCCCTCGAGGTGAGACCTCACCAGTGCCCAATCCGGAGGCACCATCACTACTCCTGCTGGCCACGCTGGTCCTGATACAAGCCAGGATGCTGTTGGCCTTCTTGGCCACCTAGGCACACTGCTGGCTCAGTGAGGCAACACCTGGCCAACGCATTCAAACTGAACTTTTGTACTTGCT